TATCATTAGAAGGAAATGTGACAAAAATCACACAACGCTGGGTTTTTGGATGTTTGTAATTTTATTTTTTAAATAGATATTCTAGGGAAAAGTACCGGTATCAAGGATCGTCGTCGAAAAGGTTGTTATGAATAATTGGGTAGGCGTACGTACTTAAGAGATGGGCTATGGGACTATTGGCTGTATTGTCCAGCGATTGGATCATACGGTGAGTAGGATCAGAAAGTGACAGATTGGAAAAGCGAGTTAGGCATCATCCGTAAACCTCTGTTACAATCACCCACTGCAGTTGTGATTTTTTACCTAACACTTTATACAACCGCCATAGAAGTTAATGAGTGGAAACCTTGTTTGTAAGCTATTGGCGACGATCATTAATAAATTTAAGTTTCCCAGCCCTATACAACACTGATTCAAGGTCTTCTTTCTGATTATTCTCAAGAACAAGTTGTACTCAAGAACAATTTTATACACAAAGAATGTCTGGTTCCTGACCTGGATGATGCATAGTTATTTAATTTCATTTACGGTTACACTATATTACTGTATTGCACTTGCGATTAATTAAATCCGTGATGTATGAAAAACGTTTTTAATCTTACTTGGTTGGAATTTGCTTTCAAAACGTGATCGGAAATGGTTGTGGTATTTGTAAACAACATTTGTAAACATATCAGTGACAGCTAGAAAAAAATAATCTTGATCAGTATAGCTGTTCGTTATTTCATAGATGATTTTGTGATAAAAATTGGACGAAAACTTGAAAAAAATCGCTCAAAACTGCATATTTGAACGTCCGTAATTTTATTTACAAAGTAGTGAAGCCATATTTTAATGGCTAAAGACACTCTCGCCAATCCAGTGAATACATTAAAATTACTTGAATCTTGATAGGTACTCTCGTTTTTCTGGAGAAGATAGCGTAAAATGACATCTTGAGTGTTACAGACAGAAATAGAGATGAGACTCGTTACTGCTTCTTTAATGTATAAAACGTAAAAATAACCTAAAAATATATAATCCTGAGCAATGTACAGACAAAACTCTAATTTTATTTATAGAGATGGTAACTAATACCATATGTTAATTAGGTTTTTTTGAAGTAGCTAATTCTCATGACACAAATCAGTAGATAGTTGTGTAACTGATGTATGTATCTTGAAAGGTATCTATTACCTATTACCATCCAATTATCTATTACCTACTACGTGTACAATGCAGTTTTCTGCTTGCGATGTTGGGTGGGTCAAGCATATTAACCCAATACTTTTCCAAAGTCAATGCTATACCTGTTTTACGTAGATGGATGTCTCCTTGCAGTATCTAAAGTCAATGCTGCATTTGGTTCTTGTGAATATGATGTCTTTTTGCAGTATCCAAAGTCAATAGTTCATCTCGATCTCATAAATTAAATTTATATTTGAGTATTCAAAGTCAATGGTGTATTATGGTTGGCATAAAGGGCATGCCTATTTAATGTATCTAAAGTCAAAGGTGAATTAGCCTAATTGGTTTTCAATTTGAAGTACCTATGCTCAATGGTATTAATCTGATTGTTCTTCCTTTTTGTTCTGTATTTGTAATGTGCTGTTTTAGTTTAATTTGTTGGGTTGAGAAACTTATGTTACAAAGCTTTTGTTTATCTTTTGTTGTTATCTTGCAAATTATATCATGGCAACCAATAAACCCATAAGGCCCATGTTTACTTTCTAAAAGTTATACTCACATAGAGATAAACCCTGTTGTCCAATTACCACTATTTCAGATTTTCACCTTCCTATAGTTGGTTACTATGGCAGTGCTAAATTTTGTGTAGATTGGTTCAGCCATTCAGGAGGAGTATTTGAAAAACAAAAGCAGGAGTGCAATATAACACAGAGTGGGGATAAGAGCTTCGCTCGCTCCGCTCAATTACTATCAGTTGTATCATCTCCAGCAACTGCCTTTGACTACCTTGATGGCTTGGCCAACATGCTGTGATTTCTAATCCGATACCCCATACTAAAAAAACTTGCATTAATATAATCCTTGATTATAATTTGATGGATTTATTAACTAAGAGTATGACAGTAGAATCCCTCATATCCGAACTTGGAATAACCAACTCCTCAGGATATCCACCTAGTGTCCGACCGTCTACTTGTTTACTGTCTGGGGCGATTACACCCAGGGCCGGATCTAGGAACCGCGAAACCCCGCAATGCGGGGGGGCCCAAGCCCTTAGGGGGCCCTAAGAGCTCGTAAAAATTAAAATTATTTTAATGCATATAAACATAATTGAATAGGACGGCAAATTTAGTTTTGACAGACAAATAAATATTGTCAACATCAAAGCTAAAGTTAGAATTATTAAGTAAATTTAGACTTGTGATTTTACTCGTCGACAACTCGGGACCTCGCCCTAGCTAGACAGTTCAATCTCGCCACTTTCAGTCAGTCCATACTCAGTCAGCTCAGTCCAGTCAGCACGTCAGCTGCATATGGTGAGCTTCACAGATCCACTACAGTCCGATCGGACCGAGCGACGTGGACGACGAAGTGTCAACTAGCACTAGCACTCACTCTCACAGTTGAGCTGAACAATAAGTCATAAGTCTGTCGTGGTAAAGGAGGGACTTACTTGTACTAATCTTTGTAGCGTTATCTAATGACCTAATTCGAAGGCGTTTGGGACTCCGTCCAAACAGTAGTTTAAACTATTGCCACGACAGGCGCTGGGTGCAGCGAGCGATCTCAATCGGGCGTAGTGAAACTGCCCCGACGTTTAGGGTACTTTTGAAACGATGAAACTGCCCCGCTCATTAAAAAGGATTAGCAAGGGTCGCCTCGCAAGACTAGAAATGCTGAAATTGCCCCGAGCACCCGGTCAGGTAGTAGCTACAGGATTGGGGATAAAAGGGAATTATTTTTGTCTCTGTGCCCTATCAGTGACTGCAGTCTTCTAAAGCTGCCGTCGACTGCTTTTCCTGCCAAGCCACAATTGTTTCTGTACCAATACCTAACCCAACCTAACCTAACCCAACCTAACCTAACCTAACCTAACCTAACCTAACCCAACTTAAGCTAACCTAACCTAACCTTAAAACAGCTAGAAATTCCTGATATTGGTGGTAATTATTAGAAGACTGCAGCACAGAAAACGTACTACTAGTAGTACGTTTTCTGTGACTGCAGTCACTGACAGAACGCAGGAACAACAATAATTCCCTCTTTTTGTTTCTGTACCAATACCTAACCTGAAATAAGCTAGTAATTCCTGATATTTTGTGGTAGTTATTATAAGACTGCAGTCACTGACAGAACGCAGGGACAACAACAATTCCCTTTCCCCCAGACCCGTAGCGGCTACCTGGCCGGGCGCTCGGGGCAATTTCAGTATTTCTGGTATGGCGAGGCGACCCTTCTTGATGCTCTGTAATGAGCGGGGCAGTTTCAGCATTTAAATCTTACCTAAAATATTGGGGCAGTTTCATAGTCCCCTCTCAATCTGTCAACGCAATTATTTAGAGATCAGTCAAAATAGTGAATACTACTGTAGTTTTGTGAGGTTATGTTTATCGTGCCGTGCCGCCGGTATTCTATAGTTGTTAAATTAAATAATTAATTAATATACACAGTTGTACCTGTACCTCTGTTTCTTTTCGTTATAAGTGTAGTTAAGTGCGAATTAATGAACAATGAATTAGGTGAAAAACATGTCTACGAAGTATGCTAGTGGTGAGGTTGTAAGTTTTGAATAGAGAGTTGAGTTAAAACTGCTAGCTAGGCCCGCCAAAACCTGATTTAGTTTATAACCCAATCTCAAAAGTCATGCAAGAGCAGAAAAGGATTTTCTAGAAATTAGATCAAAACTAAAAATTAAAACTAGGTTTAAATAGTGCAAGTTAAATTATGAAATAGAAACCACAATAGAGGATTAGTTGTTATGTTTTGCAATATCTATTCATATTTTAATATAGGCCTAGTTCTATTAGGATAATAAATCTGATCTATTAAATAAATTTAGTAAAAACTATTTAAAAATATACTTTACTCTACTCTACTTATGTCTACTTGATCGTGACAAACAACAGGTGAAATGGGAGTTTTTGGACTATTATTGGACACAGTTTTAGGCGTTAAAAATTGCTTTAGAAAGTCACCAAACGGCTATAAAAATGTGAAATTTTTCAGGGGGGGACCCCCGGACCCCCCTTTTTCTCTTGGGGGGTGCTTCACACCCCCCCAACCCCCCGGAGCCCCGTACGCAGCTGTAGGGGCCCTTGGAGGACTTTTGCAGGGGGGCCCATATTTTGTAGATCCGGCCCTGATTACACCGAGCCCAATCATTGCAGAGACTGCAAGTTACGCTCACGGGAGTTGCCGCGGTCGCGGGTGACAATTACCAGTGTTGCGGAGACTGCAAGCTGTGCTCACGGGTGTTCCCGGTGTCAGGAGACATGATAACCGAAGTCGCGGAGACTGCAAGCTACGCTCATGGGAGTTGCCACAGTCACAAGAGACGATTACCGATGTTGGGGAGACTGCAAGCTACACTCAGAGGAGTTGCCGCGGATGCAGGGGACGATTACCGAAGTCACGGGAGTAGCTGCAAGTTACGCTCACAGATGTAGCCGCGGTCGCAGGAGACGATAACCGATGTCGCGGGGAATGCAAGTTACGGTCACGGGTGTTGCTGTGGTTGCAGGGGATGATAACCGAAGTTGCAGAGAATGCAGGTTATGCTCCTCCCAATATCCGACCTTTTGGCCGTTCCAAATATAGCCGGTCATGGTCGGGTATGAAGGGTTCTACTGTAATTTAAACTCTCTATTTCACTATATTGTTTGGTCAATCATTACAATGTACCTTATTCAATATTGTTTAAAGGAACAACTTCAATATTGTCTTCAAGTATTATTATTGTTTAATACCGTAAGAATCATAGCAGTACAAATATTTGATTTCTTTACTATGCTTTTACTGTACCGGTATAATATATTGTTGCTATTTTCTTCCAGGGGACTGACAGATGAGAGTGAAATCCTCAAGTTTCTGCAGCATGGAACTCTAGTCGGACTGTTGCCTGTCCCTCACCCAATCTTGATACGCAAGTACCAAGCCAACTCTGGCACTACCACATGGTTCCGTACCTACATGTGGGGTGTCATCTATCTTAGGTAATTCATCGTTTATTTACTTATGTTGTTAACAGAGGCTGACGATTGGTTTAGACGTAAACTCGAAATATACCTACACATTTTTGTAAATTGTGTATAAATTTATTTATATTATGAGTAGCCAACAAATCAAGATTAACATATCTTAGGTAAGTCACAATGTTGGCTGTCCTTCACCCAATCTTGATACGCAAGTACCAAGCCAACTCATTCACTACACATGGCTCTGTCTGTACTTACATGTGTGGTGTCAATTATCTTAAGTCACAATGTTGGCTGTCCCTCACCCTATCTTGATACACAAGTACCAAGCCAACTCATTCACTACCACATGGCTCTGTACTTACATGTGTGGTGTCAATTATCTATGCTTACCAACATTGGACAGTCACAATGTTGGCTGTCCCTCACCCAATCTTGATACACAAGTACCAAGCCAACTCATTCACTACCATATTGGTTCTGTATCTACATGACCAGGCTTTAGAGTGTTCCCTTAAAAAAAAAACTTAATAAATACCAATGACACAAGCGCAAGAGACATTAAAAAAAATATATATATAATTCTGTGATAAAAAGTTTTGTTAGAATAAAAGTGATGAGTCAGTAAAAAAGTGAGTGACCTGCACTATTTTAATTTGTTCTAGCTATATTTACATTCAATATCACTATAACTAGTGTACCTGTTGCTCGAATTCGAGCAATTGCGAAGCATGCGACTCAAAGATTACGGAAATACTCACGATCTACACAACAGTTAGATAAAATCAAAATCTTTTGTAAATACCTTTTTTTTTTCAAAAAGCTGATCTTGTTTTTTAGTGTTTTTAGTGTAAAAAAACAATATTTCTATTTATTTTACTTGGTTGTGTTCTATGACTTTTTCTATGTTTCCATTGTTTGCAAATCGGTTATTTCAATGATTGCTCAAGAAATTTTGCATATTGTTAATTCAGTTTTGTTTTTAGCCTATATCTAATTAGTTAGGATTTATCGCCATTTTCCATTGTAATAATTACACCAACCCAAGTTTCGTCTACAGATGTAATATGCCAAAGAATATCACCTACGCACAATATCCAAGAAGTGGTAAAATAAGGCAGAAACCAACCCATACAATAGATACCTATAAGTTAACTCCATAAGAAATAATTTTAAAAGTTACTGTGATATTAGGATTTTCCACTCATTTGGTAATTGAACATTATATTGCAAAACATGACACGATGCAGAAGAAAATCAATTTTAAAATCAGAAAAATTCATTGCAAATACTGTTACTTCATTTTGACAAATTCAATAAATCACAATTTAAATATTAACAGCTGTTGCATTAAAAAGTAGTGTAGAATTATGCATATGGTCGTAATGTAAACAAATCTGAAGAGGCAACTTTAAAGGCTTCTGGGGCAGAGCCCCAAGGGAGTTTACCTCTTTCCTCTTTTGATGGATCATCTACAGACCAAGACCTTTCTTTAGAGACCCCTACCAAGTTTCTACGCCCACCCGTTCTCTAAAATTAGCTGTGACAAAAACCCCGTTTTCCTCCATAAGAATAACATGGGATGGGAATTTAAAGGCCACGGAGGCAGAGCCCCAAGGGAATTAACCATGTTTCTCTTTTGATGGCTCATCTACAGACCAAGACCTTTCTTTAGACACCTCTACCGAGTTTCTACGCCCAGCCGTTCTCTCAAAATAGCTGTGACAAAGAAAAACAGTTTCAAATTAATATATAGATAAGTTATAACTAATAAGTAATATCAGATGGTTTTGGCTTAATACTTTTGTGTGTTCTAATGCAATATTATTGATTTAGTGAGTTTGAAACAAACAAGCTCTTATCAGAATATATTCTCTCCTAATATCGCACTATTTTTTATATTTATTCAGGCACTTAAATAACCAAAATTTCATTTACCTGTGTATGTTTCAGAAATGTTGATCCTCCTATTTGGTACGACACAGATGTAAAGCTGTTTGAGATCCAACGAGTATAAATACAAGATTTGTGATGGTGGTTGAGTCAGCTGTCTTAAAATAGGTACCTTATTTAAGTTTTAAAAAAATTTATACTTTCAACTTTTTTATTCTTTCTTTCCTGCAATTATTTTTGACTTTGTAATCATTACAGGACAAAATTTCCTCCAATATTCTTTTCATTCTAGAAAGAGCACAATTATTTGTTAATTGTTACAATAAAAAAATAGTTAATTAATTAGATTTGTTGTTAAATAATTTTAATTTGTAACATTGACTGTGTATAGTCAATATTTGTAATGAATTAGCGGACGATTCAGTTAAAAATTATCTACATCATGATAACAGTTGTACAATTTATGAACCGTACTTCATACATTTGAAAATCAGTACATTTAAAAATGGCTTGAACCATATTTTCATAATAAGTAGAGCTTAAGGAACTTGTAGCTTAAAAGATGCAGGGTCTTTAAAACTAATTGTTAAACATAGACATAGTTGTTAATCATTTTGGTTCTGATTGCTAAGTAGTTTTTTTTTTTTTTTTTTTTACGGACTGATCAAGCTATTTACTGCAACAATGTGCAATGTGTTTAGTTCATCATTTATATCAAGCAAGGATAACAAATTGCTTGCAAGAACTGCATCCACATCCAAGACTGCTATATTTCCTACATTAACTTGCATCATTTTTGTTTTAGGATAGGGAAAACTATTTATCATTCATTGTTGTTTAGTACTACTACATTCCAAATAAGACAATATTATGGTATTGCTGTTACTTCTGGATTTAGATTGTGATCAACATTCCTTTACTAAGTGTACTCTGGCATTTCTTTAATTAAAATTACTGCATTTTTTTACTAATTTAGTTTCTTAGGATAAAATGTTAAACTGAGTAAAATGTGATACAAATGAATGAGGTGTATCCTTGAAATGTACTAGGTATTTTAATGTTACCTTTACACTAATTTACCTTGAGGAAAAGTTATAATGATTAATTTTTACCTGCTTAAAAATAAATAAAGATTAGTATGATTATGACAATGACTGAATAATATTGATATCACTATATGAAGGACGGGACACAAAGCTATTTTGTCCTAAAGAGTTCATATTTTCAGTTTTATCGCAAGCATTGAAAATTGCTAATGATTATACTTTATTTGAGGTAAAATCAGTTCATTAAACTGTATGTAGTTTTGACCCCAGATAAAGTTATTAATATTGAAATGTTTATTCATCATTGATTTTAGCTTCTGTACTGACTCATATAGCTACAGGTGAAGTGGTCCTTTTATCGTGTATTGTGCATTATCAAAAATGTTATTGATAATGTTTTAATTTAATGAATCAGATTCCTTAATAGGTAATTAAACATGCTTTTTAGCATTTGTTTCTTTATGCGTACGGTAGTGCAAGATAACAACACTTTTGTTTTAGATCTGTATGTTAGAGGTGTTAGTTTTGCTAAGTATTTTTTTGAAGTATAGTTAATTGAGTATAAAATTATATATGTGAGTTTGTTATAGTATAATCGTTTTTTAGCATTTTAATTATGGATTTCTGTTTGTTTATTTATGTTTGGTTTACCAATTAATCAAATCTTAGTATTCATATTGTAATTAACAGGGGTGTGGGAGTAAAGATTTGTTGGGTCATGTAAACGATTTGATAAAACTTTGAGATTTTTTATGAATCAATGTACGAGGATTGTCTGCAGGCTAAAGTCAAAACCATTTAGCAAGCTATTTCAATGTGAAACCAGTTCCGTGTTCTTTGCTTACATAACTATCCTAACTGGATCCAACTCTTATGCAAAGATTATTCTTGTCATAGTAGTTTGTTGATAATGATAGGAAGGAGGAAAGATCAATGCTCCTGTTAAGAAATAACTGTGTATAGTGGGAAAAGGGTCAACCCTTGACTATTACAATCCAGTGTTACTTGATAAAAGGAGTATGGAGGATTGTGTATGGACGTTAAATGTGTGAAAATTACTTAGCGTAAATTGCTTAGGGAGTTTGATTAAATAACTTCTTCATCAGCATCGTACATGTTTATTAAATTTACTGAAAGAACCTAAAAATATGTCTAAAAACATTATTGTAAAATATATTTACACTCATAATGTTGACACACAAGATGGTAAATACATATAAATTATGTTAGTAGCTTTGACTATCAATACAACTGTATCCAATAGTCAATGGTAGTAGAAATCGATTTCAATTGGACCCAATAGGCGAATGACAAGAACCTCGATAGCGTCCCTACTTAAATATATTATTGGCTACCGGAAGATCCAGTCAAGAAGTTTCTATAAATACAACTTGAGTCAAAATTAACTTGTTCATTAATCAGCTTAGTTCTACTTTTCCATTTTTCCTTGTAAATATATAATTCTTCCCAAGCATTATTAAAACTTGATATCATATAGTTGATATAGTTCACTTCAACAACTAATACTCAAAATAACCTAATAATTAATTTTTTCTAATGAGTATTCAATTCTCCCCAGGCATTCACACGAAGGGTCACGGTATGATCACTTGGATAAAATCCATTGGTTATTTGAGGCATTTGAACCCAGGACCTCGTAGACCAAAGTCCGAAACTTTAACACACAACCAACTGGCTCCCTACTGTAATAATAGCAGGCAATAGAACTTTTTGTATAATTAATCTCTTGAGGTTGAATTAATTGAAAATAAAAAAACACGAAGGACCCAGGACATAATTAGTTTATGCTAATCATGCAAAGATAGGCATTTTAACTAGATACTGTGTGTTATTAAATTGAAATAAATCTTAATCTCTAGGGGCGTGCTAAGCTTGCCATTAGACCTCAAAGGGTTCTGTTAAACATTAGCGCTTAGTTAACTATAACTGGCAATTGCGGCATTATCACTTAGATAAAATCCATTGGTGACTTGGCGGGGATCAAACCTGGGACCTCAGGGACTGAAGTCCCGCGCTCTAACCACTACACCAGCTCGCTCCCCCTTATTACATGTTAACTATAGAAGCTAATCATGTTTACTTGAATTCTTAATCTATGTTGACAGTCAAGATACTTGCTTAAAGCTTGACTTCTTTATTCACACACCCCTAGTAATCAGTTTCCATTTTGTAAATTAATTAACTTCTTCAGTATATTACATGTTATTAATTTTACGGAATGTAAATAAAAATACGTCTAATAACACTTGAAACATAATGATACATGCAAGACGAATGGGCGTAAAAAATCCTATGTACTTACGCCTCTTCTTCTTGTAAGCGACGTCATATTTACACCTATACTGATTTTAATACGACAGTAAGTATTTAGGAACAGCTTATTGTGCACACTCATTCACAGGTCCTCATTCTCCATCAAATCCCAGGTCCTTGGTGAACCATGAGATCTTTTTGACTATGGTAACTTGTTCTTCCCTTTGATCTCCAGTCGATAGGCCAAGGGATCTCATACGCAGACCTTGCAGGCTGAGCACATAAATATCACCTGGAAGGCTCCTCCTCCTCTCCACATTTCCTTTATAAGAGGCTTTCAACTCGAATTTCCATCTTGTGTAGATGTCTGTAAAATACCCAATGGCTGCTAATAAAGCCAACCACCTTCCGCAGGGTCTTCCTATTCAGCCCAAGGGCATCTGGCGCTATCACACTGGTAGGTGTCTGCAGCATTCTCTTTGACTGTACGTTGCCTTCTGTTCTTTCCCAGTTCCTTCAATGTTCTATGCCCATCCACTGGCAAACAGCTCTCTGTGCTGTGTTGTAAGCAATACCACACGTCGGCTCCGGACCCATGAGCGGGCTTTCAGCTCCTTTGTTTGCCCACTTGTCACCACCCTCATTGCCAGCAATACCTTTGTGTCCTGGAACCCAACTAAGGATAACCTTGTTGTTCTCTCCCAGGGCTTTCATGGCCTGATGACAGTCCCGTACTGCCTTAGAGGTAAAGTCAAAACTGTCAAATGCCATTTTGCTTTGCTGTCCAAGTTCATGTATGTGGTGAGGCTTGTCAGACCACGCTTCAAACACACTCTTGCACACTCGGACAGGGCAACAACTTCTGCCTGGAATACAGTGGCCAGTTTCCCCAGGCTTACTCAAAACTGTGCCTTGGGTCTGACTCCATATATTCCCACCCCAATGCCTGTTGGCTTTTTCGAGCCATCCGTATACCAAGTGATCCCCCTTTTCATGTATTCAGGTTCACCTTTATCCCAGGCAGCCCTGTCAACAATGTTGACATTTTATGGCTTTTCTAGATCTGTGATCTTCACCATCCTGTCTGGTAGCATTTCCAAGGTGTCCATCTGCACCTTGTCCACAATTCTTGTATGTTCACTGGAGGCATTATACTTCCAGTTGCCATTGCAAAACATTCTGTAGGTTACCATCCTTGCCTCCCGTTTCACAATGATGTGTGAGGTGGCAGGTTTAGCACAACTTCCAGGGCTGCAGTTGGAGTGCCTTTCGTGGCTCCTGTGATGCTAAGGCATGCCACTCTAATCATCATCAGATCCAATAGACGAATTACCATTATCTAGTCTATTCATTCACCTATTGGATCTGATGATGATGATTGGAGTGTCTAATTGATAATCGATCACCACTTACCATCTTTTTTACCATATTGTTAAACCAGTATTAATAAATGTAAGTGTAAATATATGTTTCCAGTGTTATTAGATGTATTTTTATTTACTATCTATAAGTAAAATTGTTTAATTCTGTGAATTTATCTAGGAAATAATAAGTAACATATAATGTGTCTTAACATTTTGTCTTAAGAAATTTAAAAAAAACAATGATTAAGTTTAGTTTTTTAATCTTTTCTTAAGAGTTAATTGTAACTCAAAAGTTGAAAAAAAACATTTTTTTATTATTATATTAATTAGTTTCTAACTATTAGGCCTATAATACTAAAATATCCTTATTTATTTACAAAAAAAGTATTATTGTCAATCGGTTTAATGTTTTGAAATCTGACTGACATTTAAAATATAGTGATAATAATTGTTTCAAATCATATTTTGTAAGTAATATTCAGTTTTATCAAGGCCACACTTTTTATCTATATTTAATGAATGTTTAACCAAAGATATGTTAAATTTAATGCATAAACAAGACTCCATGAACCTACTTGACCCGAAACATCGGTTTCTTAGTTTTTACCTAAGCATATTGTTGTATAATAACAAAAGTGTGTGTGAATGTAAAATAAAGAAAAAATAATGAATAATAAACGTTTTATAAACCCTTGCAGTAAAACCACCATTCCAGCAGCTTGCTATCATTTGAAACAGAAAATACATCTGTTGGGATCCACACTTATGTTGAGTTTTATTTTGTTAATTTTGCTGAATACTATATAAAGACAAATTTGAGTGAATGTTTGGTTACATCAAGGACGGTCCCAAAATATTTTTTATATACATAAACTATTATACCAGGGAAACATTAATAATTTTTATTGCAAATCGTTTTACCAAATTGAAATTCATTGTAGTCTTTACACTTGTAGCGAACGAAAGGACTAATTACAAAGTCTAACCTAAAACTTGGGATCGTTCAAGTCTGACTATGTTTTTGTACGTTATGAAAAGTAGGGAAGATCGGCAGACAACTTACGCTTTCAGCCATATATGGCAACGGCAGTGTCCGATGCTGACGTTCGACGTTCGGCTGCATTCTTCTTCTTATTTAATTTTTTGGCATTAATGTCATAATTGATTTTAACCCAGATGATTGAAAACTTGAATTGGGTATTGGATAAAGAAAATAAGTTGTATCAATGGTCAAAGTTTAAAAGGTAGTTGAATATTAATTTATCAGCATTAGGAATTTGTAATTACAGTAATGTAATTTCCCCAATGATTACCGTAGCAAATTTTCAAAACTTTAAATTAGAGCACCTGATATCATATATTTTAAGAGTAACACAACCCAATTGGCATGTTGCTAGCCACAAAACAACAACAAAGTGGTAGTGTCTCAGACTTAGATGCGGAAGGGACGGATTTAATTCCCGGCACAACCACAAAAACGTTGCACAAAAACTTTATCCTCACGTTGACCCCTTGTAAAATGCCACTGGCACTGGCGTAGAGAAAAATGAGAACACTGAGAACCAATTCTTCAGGCGGTAGCAGTGACGGGACACCGACGCAACGTTAGTTGGGTAGTGTACTTTGTGTAAGTTAACTGTTACTGACTGGGCAGGTATAATGCAGTCGTGTTTGGTGCAAGTTCTTAACACTTCTTAGATAAAATAAGTTCTCTTTTTCAAAATCTTGGTCTAATTTTGGACATTTTCTGTTAAGCATGCACATCGGCGCCAGTTGAAAGGGTGTTTTCGTAAATCAATAATGCTTGAATGTGTTGTAATGTTGTGGTATTCCTTTGATATTAAAACCACAAGTCTCAATAATGCAAAAACATGACATAATACAAGTTTATTTTTAGACATTTCTTTGACCTTTAAATAAACTGGGAAGCTTGAACACATTAAACTAATATTATTTCCAAATTTTTTTTACCCCCCAGGCCCCCCGGTGACCCCCCCCCCAAAATGTATGTCTAGGACCGCCCTTGGGTTACATTAACATTACCATTAACGCCCAATAACTTATATCACCCTTTGCAGTTTAAAAGATTGAACAACCAAACTAAAACAAACAGATCCAGATAAGTTGATGTTTTTCCAGATGGTATTTTGAGATAAGGTCCATTAATTTGTAAAATCAACCAAATTAAGCTTAGCTTGGTTCGATAAAAAAAATTAATAGCTATACAGTAATTGTATACAACCTCATACATCCTTAAGCTACATCTCTCCAACTGCAGTGGTGTATTGGGGTGGGAGTGCCTTCTAAACTGAGTTCCAAATCTGCACTTTTATAGAACCCACACATTAAAAGGCAACCCGTATTTCCTTTTGCGACAATGGTGAATGTGCCCACAATAGAAAATTTACAACTACACAACTGTTTAACTGTAAACATTATTAAAATATAAATAAACAATATCAGCAAACTGACACATTCAACCAACTGAATGTTGTATGATATTTAAGGTAATACCCTCGTGGGCAAGCTAGTATATTTATTTAAATGTCCATTAGCACAATAACTTAGGTAAAAATCATCTGATTTTGTTAAAATTGTGTACAAACATATAACCCTACCCTACATTATTCATACGGGTTTGCTAACAAGCATAATCAAAATATGGGGACATGTTTTTTTGGGTTTTTTTTAGGGTAATACAGTAAACCCCTCTTAACCGACCCTAATGGGACTAGACCTAGTTCGGAGAACTCAAAAGGTTGGTTAAAACTGGCAATCCCTAAAAACTTAACAAATTAAATGCTATTCATTTGGAATTATATAATCACTAGCAGAGTACCCGTCCTTCGTACGGTATTGGGATATAAATATAAAATGCTTATTGCAGTTATACTCAAGCTTTGTGTTTGCAATGAGGGAGGAAACAGTTTGATAAAATTTGCTTCTTTAAATTTACTGTATAATGTTCTACCACTTCACCTAAACAATAGAGAAAAATAAATCATCAAAAAAACACAAAATATCACAAATTATTCATGAAATTAAAAACATAAACATAACTGTAAACAATCCTACTATAACAGTTAGTTCTCATTGTGTATCACATTTTTTTTTCTGCTTAATTTGAATTATCTGTTTTCATAAGCAAAAAAAATATAGTGCCCCCTGTTGGTAAATCCTATAACTTTTTAATGCTTTTGCATATCATAGAACCAACTTTTTAAAAACCAACAGCTGACTAAGTTCTTTAATTCCCTTTAAATATGAACACTCATAAGGTTAACATGGGGAACTACAGAGCAACTGGGGCGGAGCCCAAAAGGATTTTTGAGATAAGAATATGCCTATATGTTAATCGGTAATGTGAGCTATCATCATGCCAAATTTCAGCCAAATCCGTCCAGTAGTTAATGCATTATTGAACTTCAAACAAACACACAAACTTTCACATTTATAATATTAGTATGATATGATATGATTATCTTCGGGTGTGCATTATTTACAAAATTGACTAGACTTATCTCCTTTTAGCAAATTTCCCATATAGGGAATAAGCTATTACCGTAGTACTCATGGTAAGACCTGGACCCGGGGCCGATTTACTTTTTTGTTTTGAGGTCCCTAGAGGCCAAAAACACCAACCATTCAAATTCAAATATATTTATATATACATATTTGTGTGTCATAGTGTCATAGTATCATAGTGTGATAGCTCACATTCCCGATTAACATATGGGCATATTCTTATCTCAAAAATCCTTTCGGGCTCCGCCCCAGTGGCTCTGTAGTTCCCCATGTTAACCTTATGAGTATTCATATTTAAAGGGAATTAAACAATTTTGTCAGCTGTTTCAACTAAAAAAAGTTGGTTCTATTATATGAAAAAGCATTAAAAAGTTATAAGATTTACCAACAGGGTGCAGCACTATTGTTTTTTTTTTTGCATTTACGAAAACAGCTAATTTGAACTAAGCAGCAACAAAAATCTGAGATACACAATGAGAACTGTCAAAGTAGAATGTTTACAGTTGTTTATTTTTTTAATTTAATGAATAATTTGTGATATTTTGCGAATTTTTTATAATTACTTTTTCTCTATTGATTAGGTGGTTTAGGTAAAGTGGTAGAACAATATGTCTATGGTAGATGTGTAATACTATGTATACCATAAATTTAAAGAAGCAAATTTTACCAAACTGTTCCTCCCCCATTGAAAACGCAAAGCTTGAGCTAATGTCCATTAGCACAATAACTTAGGTAAAAATCATCTGATTTTGTTAAAATTGTGTACAAACATATAACCCTACCCTACATTATTCATACGGGTTTGCTAACAAGCATAATCAAAATATGGGGACATGTTGATCAAAATCACGGAACTGCCGCTGACTTGCCATGACTAAATCATTAATTTTTTTAAACGACTGGATAACAACCGCACATACACATAGCTCATACAATAAGCAATAAGCATTTTATTCCTATATGCCAACCCCGTACGAAGGACGGGTACTCTGCTAGTAGGAAATAAATGTGATATTTTTTAGGAGGCATTTTAGTGTAAATCCAATCAGGCTTATGGAAATTCGCTTAGTCTGCAGGTTTGCTGCGGCGGGGGTATTGTTTATTTCAGCTTAACTTAACCAATCAATAGTTTTATTAATACTTATGAAGTCAAACGAGGTGAAGCCGGTGAGTACCAGCTAGTCTGCAGTAGCTTTTTAATGACATACACACACACACACATAACACATGACTGATTAGGAATAAGTATTATCGTATTATTAAATCAATGACAGGCCTTTAATCGCAGATGCTGGCATACCGATACCATTGAGTCAAAAATGTGCACCCAAGTGCGCAAGTATTAAGTATTAAGTATTGATATTTAATTGATGGCAGTAAACAAGTGACTCTTTTACTAGACCTCAAACTTTGTCTGAATATCAAGAGTTTACTGCTCATCATTCAATGAAATGTGGCAATAAAAGTTTAAAAGTAATGGTTTTAAAGATTATTTTATTTGTTCCAATATAATAACAATTTTAATTAAAATATAGAAGCCAACCATAATCATAAAACTTGGCAATAGCTTAAACAAAATTTTAACATTTTTAAAAGAGTTAATAATGTAATTCCTAATTTTCTACACATTTTGATTTTAGTATCATATGTATCATCGAGTAAATCATCATTTTGGTATGAACAAAAATTAAGTAGTATTTCACATTTTATGTGTTGTATAAATTGTTAAAATAATAAATGTATCACTGTGGCTTTTAAGTACCCTAATTACATAGCGTTATCACGTAATACTATTCTGAAGGTATAAGTACCGTGTTACTATCCTCATAGTACCTCATGTTTGAGGGTATGTTCAATAGTTACATCTGAAAGTTGGACAAAACTGTAACGCATAGTAACTATAAATCTAAAAAAATTACACAAAAAAACAATTAATTAAAACAATAACATAATAATAATAATAATGAAATAATAACTACGGTAATTATAAATAATGAAATACTACATTTTCATGCCATGATATGGACATTCTTTAAACCAGTTCATTATAACATATTAGATATGGAACAAAATCTTTGTGTAAATCACTACTATTCTAGACCATTTTATAAAACACAAAAATACAATTGTAACAAACAAGACTTGTAATGACCTACAGATTCCTACCTACCTCTAAATTCTTGGGAATTAAACATTCTACTTATCAATTATATAGAAAAGAGAGCACATATAAATTATGGAAGGCATAGACATATTAACATTACTGACTAGAATTCACCAAAACGCCTTCTAGCTTTGGACACTTTTACTGGATGGGACACTGTCAAATAGTATACAATTAATTATCAAAATTTCAACAAAACAAATTCCAAAATTATTCCTGTGTCTAACCTCACACATTTTTATTCAATGGATGAGAAAGTATGTTATTGCTGGCAAACATGCTCGTCTTCTAACATTATTTTATGTCTCAAATTGTGATTTTTCTCCTTAGTTCATTTCCCCTGAAAAGTATATGTTACTATAACTCATTACAAATTATTCTTTAAAATAATTAAAAAAATATATAAATTTGAATTTATATTACATAACGTATACCTGTACCTGTTATTTATAATCACTATCATTGCTTATATGGCGGTTGCTGTTTGTATAACTGTTTATATTACCAGATATGACCACAGTCAACCACTTTCAATAAGTTATGTGACATAATTTTATTTTCTATTTGAAACACAAAATTAAATACAGGATGCGGCAAAAAACTTGATCTATTTTCTGCAAAGCACTGTTCAGCGACAGGTCGTCCGAGAATGGTGGGAGTAGGCTCGTTGGAAAGCCCACACGATGCCATTTCTTGTAGTCATAGAGCAGTGGTCACCTGAGCTAGTGCGGTTGTTATGGAGTCGTTTTTATAAAATAGTGAATTCATTCATTGCTACTCAGCGGCAGTTTCATGCATTCTTTCAATTAAGGCGACATGGAGAAGTTCCGTTGCATAGCACCTGCGTTGAAAAGGAAGCTGACAGGCCGTCCAAAGTCAGATTGGACGCCAGACAACAAACATTCGATAGAGTTCGTGCTGCTGTAGAAAACAGTCCTCGTAGGCCAGCCTGAAAATAAGCGGCTGCCTTGAACATGTATGACCACTCAGTTGTATGAATTTTGAGGTTAATTTTCATCCCTATGGATTAGAATAATAATCTGTATAATTTGGTAATCATCCATACAGATAATCACGACGGAACCTCTCTATGTCGACCTAATTGAATAAAAGCACGGAACTGCCGCTGACTTGCCATGACTAAATCATTAATTTTTTTAAACGACTGGATAACAACCGCACATATACATAGCTCTTACAACCACTGCTCTATGACTACAAAAAATGGCATTGTTTAGGCTTTCCAACTAGACAAAAAGATTAGACTTGTAAATGTAAACATTAAGAACTGGCTTGATGTAACTATATGACTTTTGTTGCACCATATAAACATACTCATCATGAATGGCTAGAACTATAAAACACCTCTTCAGATTGTTTTTTTTTCTTTTCTTGTTTGCTTCCGTGCCAATTTTTTGATAATTTTTACTTTAATCTCAGCAAGTGATTCCCCAAAGTATAACTCATCTTTGAAATATTGTAAAATATCTTTCAATTTTAGATAAAGGGGGAAATATAATTCTTTTAATTTGAAAATTGGGTTAAAACCACATTCAAATAATTCTATGTTAAAATTCCATGTCTTAGCCTGGTAAAAATATTTTCTATCACTGAAAATTCTGCTGTAAAAAGGTTAGACATAGGAGACGTTTTACAGCAACAGTTGGTTTATGAGAAATTATCATTCAATTAAATGTGGAAGACCAATCTTAAACAGCCGCTAAACTGACTGTTACCAGAACTAATAGTAACACATTGTACATTGTCTCTTGGCAAACTTTTAATTAAAAGCTTTCAATGATTGTATGGTAACATTTCATAATGTTTAATGACATGTAACTGTATAATTTTAGATGATCATGCATTATAGCATGGCTGGTTGTATTATACACTAACATGGACAAATTCTGCCATTAACATTGGTTTGGCTGGTAAATGGTGGAATCGACTAACAGTTAGTTACGACTGTTTAAGTGAGAATCAGCTGTTAATCTGTAAATTACAATATACAAATGGGACACAATTTTGTGCAAACATTTTACATGTGTATATTTATAAAAAATATCAAACTAACGTTAACCACAAAACACTCAAATGTAACTTGTTAACTAAAATAGTTAGGTGTTATAAAAGGTCTTACAAACATTGAATATCGTACAAAACACTCTGCTCCCGAGATCAGTCTATCTGACTAAAAGCTACAGGCTTGTATGAGAAGACTGTGGTTATCAAACCTAAACCAATCTCTACTTATCACACAAGTCGACTCAATAAGCATACAACAAGAAATATTTAAGTCGGGAAATGAGGTTTGACTGGTAAGTGTTTTGCTCCTTTACCATAAAAATTCAATAATACATTATCTAAAAACAATGTTTGTGATACTTTCACAACATCTTAAGTTTCTGCAGTATGATCGCAGTAAAATATTATTGTGTTACTAGTGAACTTAAATATTCATAACAATACTGCAACACATATATTCATTACCTAGTTTATTTAATATTATTCAATTCCTCAGGAATCCTAGATAAATGTCTTAAAACTCTAAAAAAATGTAAAGAAATTTATTAGGTCTTTTAAATTGCATTTGACTTGCCAATGTAAAATTTTAATGATACAAAGAATGACCATGGCTAAATTGCAGACTAAATTTACAGTATGTGAATATTAAATCTCGCTGTTACATTGGTACAGTTTTAAGTTTCAAGGCTCTAGTTGATGTAACAACAACTATATACGAAGTGGCACATCTTTTTTTGCTAGCAAAATTATTGTATTATTTCAAAGCCTGAGCTTGTTTTTTGTCCTGAAACAAGATTTTTAGATTAAGATTTATTAATACTTTGATCTATGTAAACATATAAAATTGTGTAAAAATTTAAGCGAAGTAAGGGCGAGACGTGGGAGTGTACTCAACTAGGCTAATCCTGAGTGGTATAAAAGGATCACAGGGCTAGGAACAAAAGAACTCTTTACAAAGGTCAAAATTCCCTTTCATCATGACATGATCTTGACCTTTTATCCTTTGAAAATGCTTTCCTGTAGAATAATAAATAGGTATTTATTTCTCCAATATAATTAATTTATAAATATTTCAAAGTTATTTAATTTAAAATATATATTATTCATCATGATTATATATTTATAAATATGTAATCTATTGTTAATTATACGGAAAGAAGGAATCAGATATGACATATTGTAACAACTTTATAAATTTGATAACCTTGTTTAATTCTCCCACTAAATCATTAATTCAATATTTTCAATATTTCAATAGTAAGGAAATTGCGGTGAAACATTTACTGTTAGTTTTAACAGTAAAACTATTACAGTAGAGTCCCGTTAGTCCGACATGGTTGGGACCGGGCCCATTTCGGATTACCGAATATTTCGGATTAAACTTTTTTTTTATTTTTTTTTTATTTTTTGAAATTTTTTTTGTCTTAGGACGCAGGCACGAGCCCGGGATTGTTTTTCAAATTACTTAAGGCTAGACCTAGTGGCTGCAGCATTATCACTTACAGTAATAAAATCCATTTGTGATTTGGTGGACGAAAATGAAAAATGTTACAGTAATAACAAAAATGGTGAAATATTTAATAAAATACTCTACAAAAAGTCTATCTCGCCCGGCCGCTACAGAATACGTTGACAAGGTAGAGCTAACTGTGTTAAAAGTTTAATAAAAAAAACTTTAAAAAAATATTCAAAAAATTTTGAAAAAGTTTCGAAAAACTTCAAAAAAACTTAAAAAAATTCAAAAAAATTTCAAAAAATTTCAAAAAAGTTTTAAAATTTTAATTTTTTTTTTATTTAAAAAATATATTTTTTTTTGTTTCGGATTAAGCGGACTTTCGGATTACCGAGGTTCGGATTATCGGGACTCCACTGTATTCCCTTACATTTTGTAAGGTTAACAATTTATTTCTTCAATTATTTCTTTAATTTATCCTGCAATCAACCATTATCTTCACAAACTAATACTCACATTTTATGATTGTTCTTTCAGGAAATCATGTTTATTGATAACTTATGCTAATAATACTGATTGAAAGTAATTTTGTGGATAAATGAAAACTAACTGACAGCCTTGTCGTAAGAAGGAGGTGGCATTTCCTCAGCGTTTGGTTGCTGAGGTAGGAGTATTGCGATATGGTAGGGTGGAGGTGGAGGTTCAGTTAGAGGCTGGGCGGGGGGAGGCGGGGCAGGGTGGATCACTTGCAGAGTGGGCGGGGCAGGGCCGTAGGCTGCGGATGCTGTAACAGCGGCCGACAACAAGTCTCGCGTTGCTTTAGATCGGCACAAAGAGATTGTGCATCCAGCGAGTAAGAATACTATCATAAGAGCAGCAAAAATCAGTACCTCCAATGCAGTCTCCTGAAAAATAATTAACATTATTGTGAAGAAATATTGTCAACTCCCAGAGTATTTTCTCACTTTGCCTGTCCCATTTGAAGCCCTGATTACATTCAATTAATTACTTAGGTGTGAGGATACAGGGATAGTAAAATAGTGTAGGATAATGTTAAAGGATTTCAAACGGATTACAAACCAGTGCTCAATTTGTAAAAAATGAGGTGCCGGAACAGTAAACGATTTAATGTAATTTGTACCTATTTATGCCAATATTTTTATCTTTCCGAAAGAGAGGTACTGGAAATCCGTTACGCTGCATTCCCCCGCAAATCGAGCACTGATTACAACAGAAGATAACGAGACAGATGGAGTCAGCTGAAAATTCTGCAAAACCAGACAATCTCAGCTTAAAATGGAGAAACTATGGAGCCATTCAAATGTAAATGATATTTTGAAACGGAGATTAACCCATGATATTAATCCTACATGCAACTTAAAACATTTATTTAAGAGTGTTTAACATTTCTTAAACTGTTGTGTAAACAAAAGTTTCTAAGTTTGTTTTCTACAAAAAAAAAAAAAAAAATTGAAGTAGCCTAAATGTTTGTGGAACTGTATTGATTGACTTTTCAATGTGCAGAGAGTAGATTCTGCTGTTAATGAATAATATTATGCTCCAGGAAAGTAATGGTTTAAACCCATTGACGATAATTTTTTTTTCTCTGTTAATAGTTTTTTTTTTTTTAGGTTCTGTCCTTTTGTGTATTTTATCATATATGTATTTCATTTCAACACAATAATATGTCTATTTTTAACCGAAATAAAATCAAAAAATTAAATTTTGTGCCCTCCTCTTCATTCCTGTGTAAAAAGGAGCAAAACAGGTGTTGTTTACGCTTATCAAACCGACTAGTGCTGTCAACTTCCACCCAAGCCAGACACCGTTTAGTTAAGGTGGGCCCCCCAAGCTAAGCCTCACATTAGCAATCTCAATACAGTATTGATTGCACAAGTAGGGGATTCAAACCTGCGCATGTAGAAAGACCTCAATGCTACACTTGTCAGTGTAACGCCTTAGCCAACTAAGCTACCATGCCACCGTCAGCTAAACGGATCGATTGCCAGTATAAGCCCACATTGACACTAGCACTTGTAGGTAAGATTCCATGTACTATTTGAGGGTAAGTGCGTTAGCTTTATGACCATCTCATGGAAATATGTGTTGACGGGCTACACTCATGAGTCGTCGACAATGGGTTAAACTATTAAAAAACTACGATGTTGAAGGATTGTCTTTAATACTACTATGACTATCATTGTCAGTATTTTTTCAAAGTCCGCTTTTCAGATGAAAGTGATCTGATGTAAATTCCACCAATGACTGTAGCAATCTCATGACTTAAGTTATAAATTCATAGTTTGGGTGATCAGAGCAACCAACCTGATTGTTGAAGTAGAACTTGGCAGCAACAATGAGCACGGTTGCCAATGCGAAGGATGTCCACATGCCACACTTGAGTTTGCCTACAGGCTCCAGGTCCGGTAACACGACGTGCGTCTGGTCCTCTGTGGTGCCATCTAGTGGCAGGTCCAGGAACACTGAACTGTCCAACTCTAGGTGGCCGGGCCGCACTGCCAGCTCAGAGTCCACACTGATGCTGTTCAGTCTACGACCAACAAACACTATAGGAGGATGACAGGGTCTCATTGGGGAGCTGAAGATTGACCTTAACTTTTTTCTAGCCGTGACCCAAAATTTTTCTGGTATGAGTCGGGAGCCTAAATCCTTAGGACACATTAAAAAAAATGTATATTCTATTGCAGAATAATATGTTGTACGTCTAAGAGATGCTAATGATGCTAATAAATAAAATACCCCCGCCGCAGCAAACCTGCAGACTAAGCAAATTTCTATTAGCCTGATTGGATTTAGACTAAAATGTCTCCTTAAAAATATCACATTTTTATTCCCTACTGTATCTAAATAGAATTAGTTTAACGAGTACTTAGGTTTGCTGCAACAGGGAGGGTAAAAAAGTGTTTTTTTATGTTAACAGTTTAGTAAGAAATGAATGTATTTTCCAAATTCGATCAATATCATACTAATATTATAAATCTGAAAGTTTGTGAGTTTGTGTGTGTGTGTGTTGCTCAATCACGCATAAACTACTGGACGGATTGGGCTGAAATTTGGCATGATGATAGCTCACATTCCCGATTAACATTAAAGCATATTCTTATCTCAAAAATCCTTTCGGGCTCCGCCCCAGAGGTTCTGTAGTTCCCCATGTTAACCTTATGATTTTTCATATTTAAAAGGAATTAATGAATCTTAACAGCTGTTTCAATTAAACAAGTTGGTTCTGTTCCATGATGTTCAATAGCATAAAAGTTACAAGGATTACCAACAGGGTGCAGCACTATTATTTTTTTTTTAATTTATGACAACAGCTAATTTCCAACCAAAAGGTGAGTGAGCGTAGCGAACGAACTTCAACCTGGAGGCGAGTTAGCGTAGCGAACGAGCTAACCTGAAGGCAAGTGAGCGCAGCGAACGAGCTCCAACCTAAAGGTGAGTGAGCGTAGCGAACGAACTTCAACCAGGACGTGAATGAGCCATGCGAATACTTATGAAGTTAAACGGGGTAAAGCCCGCGGGTACAGCTAGTATGTTCATAAGCAAGCAAACTACAACAGTTGACTTATCGTCCATAAGAATAACATGGAAATTTTAAATTTTCTCCGTAACCATTAGGCGCACAATGACACTTCAATATACTAAATTATTTGTTTTTTTAAGCTCTACAAAATGGTTTGGAAAGAAATTGTGAAATTTCGTGTTTTTAGGGTCAAAAATGGGAAAACCCTATTTTTACCTCATAAAACCCACCATAAACCCCCGTTCCCATAGTCCGATCATGCTGGTTCACGAACTCGTTAGAATAAATGTAGGTTTATACCAAATTTCATCAAAATCAGATCATTTTTGCACGAGTTATCGTGCTAACGGACACACATATATATATATAAATAAATATATATGAATTTGAACGGATGGTGTTTTTGGCCTCTAGGGACCTCAAAACAAAAAAGTAAATCGGTCCCGGGTCCAGGTCTTACCATCACCTAATAATAGCTCAAATAATAGCTAATGGTAATAGCTTATTCCCTATATGGGAAATTCGCTAAATATTCCCTATATGGGAAATTCGCTATTTATTCCCTATATGGAAAATTTGCTAAAAACCTCGATTTGGTTGCAAATCTTAATTTTTTTGCAAATTTTTACTCAAATTCTAGGCGTACTATATTATTGCCTGTCACTTGTGCCTCAAGTATCATTGTTTTTCCCGTTTTATTTTTTTTTGCGAATTTCTCATATAGGGAATAAGCTATTACCGTAGTACTCATGGTAAGACCTGGACCCGGGACCGATTTAATTTTTTTTGTTTTGAGGTCCCTAGAGGGCAAAACTACCATCCGTTCAAATTCATATATATATATGTCCGTTAACGCGATAACTCGAGCAAAAATGATCCGATTTTTATGAAATTTGGTGTAAACCTAGGTTTATTTGAACGAGTTCACGATCCAGCATAATCAGACCATGGGAACGGGGGTTTACGGGGGGTTTTATGGGGTAAAAATGGGTTTTTCCTATTTTTGACCCTGATAACAAAAAATTTTTCCATTTTTTTAAACCATTTTGTAGAGCTTAAAAAAAGAAATAATTTAGTATATTGAAGCGCTGTTGTATGCCTAGCGGTCAAGGATAAAATTAAAAAATAGTGTAATCAAAAATTCATATGTTATTCTTATGGAGAAAATTAAAACTGTTGCAGTTAACTTGTTTATGGATATATTGATAAAATTTTGCAAATTTATTTATTTCATCCTATAATACTATTGACGTATAGTCAAAAAACACTTCTTACCTTCCCCGTAGCAGCAAACCTAAGCACTCATCAATAAATCTAATGTTACTAGAGTACCCGTGCGGCTCAATGAGCCGCATAGTATGAAACATAACTCCGAGGAAAACGTTATGCTTAAATTAGAGTAATTCTACTTACATCTTAGAGTAGTTTAAACACTTGTTAGAAACTAATTTTAAAAACCTCTATTTTTGCGTTGTAAAAGGTTCACCTACCTACATTATTTCTGTGCTCAGTTTTAACTGATAACTCCTAATGAATGCTAAACGATCTGCTTCAATTCGAGTTAACATGTTACAACAAAGTGTTTCCAGAATTGAGAATTAAAGAAAACTGTTGCCTTGCTGATAGCCTGTGTTAAGTAATTTAAGTTTGGGTCATTTTATTTCTTTGATTTGAGACTTCACTCTAAACAAACGAATTTTCTCCGTAGAGAATCCTGAAAAGGTGGGTGATATCAACCATTTTATGTGGTCCATTTTTTACCCACAAACTCTGGGTTACCAACTGGACAGCCTTAATCTGCGTTGAATAATAGGCTAAAGCAGCAACACCATTGAAAGATGGTTAACGTATTTTAACGTGTTGTCTGTCAGTCACAGTATATACCCCGCATCATAACGTTCTCACGTTGTTCAATGGAGTACCAAATTTTTGAAAGTATGGATTCTTTTGTCGAAATAGGTTGGATAACTCTTGTAGCTATAAAATTTGGATATCAATTTTCATTTTCTCTTTTTGAAAAGCGTATATTATTTGCCTCTCCTGAATCATAAAAATAAACTTGACCGTAACTATTCGATCGTTAAATACATAAACACTAATTCCTTCACTTATGTTTGATCTAATATTGCCACTAACTTTTTGAAACTTCTGATTTTTGATCTGAAATGTCTGGATTGTGTTGGTGAATTCAGTCCAAAAATTTGGTATATAAGTTTGTCAGAGATACGGGCAACACAACCTAGAAGTAAACAATCCATTTGCGTTTTTCTCAATTGAAGTAGACTGAGTAATACAGAAAGTTTACAATAAAAACATAAGGTCCGCAAAGATGTGGTATAATCTTACTACTTGAACTTATCATAGTCAATGCATTATTATAGTTTCTACTAAATGTTTTGAAATTTCTCGATCTGTAAGTGTCAGAAGTAAACAATTCTTGCATGCATTCATTTGATCTGTGATTAGCCAAGTTTACTTTACCAACGTGAAAACACTATGTGCTTCGTATATTTTCCACGACCAAAGTAAGTTGCATAGCATAACTGTCAAATATTATTCATCTCACCAAGTGAATTTGTATCTGGATGGGTATCTGTTAGACGGGGATCTGTTTTTCTACTCTCCTCATACACATAAGATATCTTATTATTAATTGTCTCCTCCTCCCGTTTTCAATGTTTCTTCTTTGAACTTGAGGCATTTTCTGTTCTTCCAACAAAACTGATAAACTGTTTAACATGGCCTTAACCTACTGAATATTACAAACAATAATATTTACTCCCAAAAAGCTAATGAGTTTCTTTTCATTAACAGCTGTTTTTTGTTTTTAAATTTGTTCTGTGTATTTCTTATGGGGGAAACCCGACCTTTGAGAGGGTCTCACGCTCTTCAGAGTAGGAATTTTAAAATTGTAAAACCTTATTGCAAAACTACATATTGAGACAAATCTTTCGACACCTTAAACGTTGAAATTGGTCCACAAATAAGGGAGGAGTTGCCTTAACAAAAAACGGCTTCACGTATTATATATATAGATTTAATAAATTGGGAATAAATATGTCTCATTTATGGAAATATTTTAGTAAAAATGTAATCAGACAAGTTGAAATTCGCTTAGTCTGCAGGTTTGCTGCGGCGGGGGTATTTTTTTTACTAATGTTATGCTCAGAGGCAGTATTTTCACCTTGCACTACAAACTCATCTTTTGCTGCACATTTATCACTCAAATCATCATCTAGGAAGCATGTTTGTACATTCTTCAAAGTTTTTGTCCAAATTCAACTACTATTGTAAACCTATACATTTTTTAAGGCTAAAAGTATTGTTAGTTGTGACCCTTGGGTCCTTAGAACTCAGTTGCGAAATTTCACGAAAACAACAAGTCACTCAGCACAACCATAATGTCAACCTCATACTGGTGGGAGGTTACACTGCGGCGGATATTTGTAACCAAACAAAAATTGTTTGAGCCCAGGGTAACGTCTAGAAGGTTAAAACTTATGATAGGGGGTGGTTTAGAGGACCGGGAATGCATGGGGATTAGCTTTCCAGCTTCGCTTTTTCTAGAATCCTATATATTAATCAATAGCATTGAGTATACACATCTTGCGTTTGTTCATCTGTGGCTATTCCATAATTTCTATTTTGGGTGAAGAGACCCCCCGAGAATTCTGTTTATTGGGCATAGCCCTTTCAAAAGTTCCAAAATATCTTGACTTGACCATTCCATCGTCATTTCGTATTTACAGTTAGCTTTCAGCTCACTGTTCAGCGACAGGTCATCTGAGAATGGTGGGGTTAGGCTCGTTGGAAAGCCTACACGATGCCATTATCTGTGGTCATAGAGCATTGGTCACCAGAGAAACTGTGTTTGTTATCAAGTAGTTTTTGAAAAGTAATGATTCAGCCATTGCATAAAATTTCAATTTCTCAAAACATGAAATTTCTCAATTTCTCTCTCTAGACTATTTTGAAGAGATTAAAAAACAAATAATTTAGTAGAAGTGATTTTGTACAATTATTTGTTACAACAAAAATTTTAATATAAAATTAAAATTCTTGTGTTATTCTTATGGAGAGTAAGTAAACTATTGTAGTTTGCTTGTTTATGGATATATTTTGATCAAACTTGGCAAATCTATCTACTGTATATATTAATAGGCAAGCATGTTTCTTTAAAACCTTTTTTCTCAGCTTGTGTGCATCGCAGGGAAAATCTACGCATACCGTACCTTTAGAAAGATATTTTCCTGTAGAAGTGCAGAATCCCTTTAAAAATTAAAATAGGCTCAAATATAAGCACAAAAATGGATTCGAAATTTAAAAAAATTAACATGGGCTTTATGGGTTGCCATGTTGGCGACGAAATAACAACAAAATATAAACAGAAAATCAAAACAAATGGAAGAAATTACAATCACATGTTTTATTTACAGCGTGGGGTGAAAATAGAGAAGCATATGTACATTCCATCCCCATGTTAAAGTTGTCACCAGTTTTTTAAATTAAATCTGTCGTAGTTGATGTGAGCCACCAACAGATTTAGCATTGTGAGCAGACAATCATTTAGATTGCGCTGATCTAAATGACTAATTTCTGTTGAATACACGATGTTTTTTACCAAGTCAAACTTATGGGATAACTTATTATGAGCTATAGCAACTGTTATGACCCATCAACTTTGTCAGCAACAAAAAATAAAATAGAAAATAGAATTTAAGACACGAATTCGGTGACTGACTCACACAACTATGTGTTTAAAAAAATTTTGACAGCTGGTCCATATAGATGGGATGCCTCCTTAAGTATCCAATAGTCAATACAAGAACAAGAACATTAATTACATGTTTTTAGTCGAGTTTTCAACCACGAGACGACCACTAGTCTTATTTATTTCATACTAAGCTATTAATGTTTGACTAAAAACACACTTTATTGCCCTCCACTTTATTGCCTTCCTGTAGCAGGAAACCTAGGTGCTCGAAAACCTAATGTTATTGAAATAGATTTAATTTAAAATCAAATCAAGCTAATAAAAACTCGCTAAGTCTGCAGGTTTGCTGCGGCGAGGGTATTTATACTTTAGAAAATCTTAGAAATTTTAGTTTCTGTGTGGGAAGTAAGCATGTGGCTATGTTTTAGGGGGGGGGGCAAGAAAGGGGCAGTATGAAATGGGACCGGGGGATCTTCAATACATTAAAGATTCTTAATTACATGCATGAAGTTTTGTTTTGATGAAGAGATTTGTTATTCACACTTAATCCGACAGACACTGAAATTACCAAAGTCAAACTTGCTAGCATGAGTTCTAATCACTACATTACTTTTCTCTAGAACTCAGATTTAAAATAAACATCAATTTATCTAAAATACGCAGCTCTGAGTATATTTTAAGCATTATGTCTAGTAAATCACTAAATGGTAACCTGTAAGCCGGTTGAGAAGAGCAGCCATGGCGGTTGGGCCGGCGCATGTGCGGGTGACCGGCGACACACTCTACTGGTTGGAACCGGTGAACCGGAGTCACCATAGGTTTGGCGCGCCACCGCCGACCCCCGCCTGCAACTGATAGAATCACTACAATACACATAAAGTGTATCAAACCCAGGGCCGATTTACCGAATAGGCAAGGTAGGCACGTGCCTAGGGCGCGAGGCAATTGGCTTTTTTGGGGGGCGCCAAAAAATTGGAAAAAAGAAAAAATTGTGGCCGTTTTTGCATGCGATCGCGGTAAACTGATAATCCCTTGCGGCCGTAAAGACACCTTAACAGTCTCCCACAATTGCGGCAAGATGTTAATTAGTTACCGCGGTTGTATATACGTCATCATCGTCCGTCTCCCGCGATCGCGTCAAAGTTCTGACTATTTCCAGCGGATGTGTGGACATAATTATCGTCTTCCTTGATCGCGGCAATATATGAACACATCCCGCTGTCGTGATGAGATTATCACCGTCTACCGCGAATGAGGCAAAATTGTAATCTTTTCCCGGGGTCGTGTGGACATTATCATCTTCTTGCGTGATCACGATAAAATTCTGATAATCCCTCACAGCCGTGAAGACATCATCGCCTCCCGTCGTCGTGAGGCATTGTCATCCTCTCCCGCCATTGCGGCAAATGGTAATCATCTCCCGCGGTTGTTTGGAGATCATCATCGTCTTTCACGAATGAGGCAAATTTCTGATCTTTCCCGTGGTTGAGTGGACATTATCATCGTCTTACGCGATTGCGGTAAAATTCTGATCATCCCTCGATTGATTAGCCGTGTAGAGTAGACATCATTATTGTAACTCCCGCGATCCTGTAGACATCGTAATCGTCTCCCTCGGTCGTGAAGACATCGTAATCGTCTCCCTCGGTCGTGAAGACATCGTAATCGTCTCCCGCGGTCGTGAAGACATTGTAATCGTCTCCCGCTGTCGTGAATACATCGTAATTGTCTCCCGCGATTACGGCAAAATGTTAATAATATCCCGCAGTTATGTGGATATCATTATCGTCTTCCACGATCGTGACAAATTTCTGACTGTTTTCCGTGGTTGTGTGGACCATGATCATATCCCGCGGTCATTTAGTCATTATCATAGTCTCGCGCGATCGCGGTAAAATCATGATCATATCCCATGGTCGTTTAGACATTATCATCGTATCATGCGATCGCGGCAATATTCTGATTATCCTTCACGGCTCTGTGGATCTCATTATCGTATTGCGCGATCGCGGTAAAATCATGATCATGTCTTTTAGATATTATTATCATCTCATGCGATCGCGGCAAAGTTCTAAACATCCCTCGAGGCCTTGTGGAGACATATTATCGCCTCCCGTCTCCCGTGGTCACGGAAACGTCACTGTTGTAAATTGACGATTCCAGGTAGAAAATTAACACATAATTCCTGGTTTAAAAAATTCACGCTTAGTTTCCGGATTTCCCGGTTGGTGGTCACCCTGTTATATATTGCAAAGGGGCGCTACTATTGGTTGTGCCTAGGGCGCTGACATGGTCAAAAACGGGCCTGATCAAACCCTTAGTGTGGAAGTGAAAGATAACTATGGGCACAAGAAAATTAGCCTTCAATGTCAAGCTTCATCCAGATGAAAAGCTGTTTGGTAAAAAGACAACATTTATATCTATCATTTTAAGAACCTTATAGTGTAGTCAAATACAAGTAATGTACAAGTTTCATTTTTTACAATGAATAAAGAGTACAAAATCAACAATAAAAAGGTCTGAATGCAAGGTTTATTTGTGTTTTGTTAAAAAGCAAATGTTAACAATAATTTTCCTGACTTTGTTTCATTACGATAAATAAATCGTTCATAAACACTGAATGTAACCCATGGAAATCATATCATACTGGCCAAGTTTGAAAAATGTATTATATACACTATAGGAAAAATTATTCATACAAGTACAAATTTTGGTAGATAACTACTATACTTATCTATCAATTACTATGGTATTTATTTATTCCCTATCACATTCTTTAGACTTTTTAAGCACGCAAAAATATTGATTTTCTACAGAAATTTAAATATTTTATTTTTTAAGCTTAATTGAGACTCAATAATTTTTTATTTGTATTTGGTTTATTAGAGAATTTGCTGGTTTTGTTATGGGATCTATGCAGTATAGTTTTGAAGCATTTTCTTCCTAGGCTAAGGCTACACAATCAACCACTGTTGCTCTGATAAAACACAGCATACCCAGCTACACTAAAAGCTATACTAAACTGTTCAGATAGCTAAATTTGGATGCTTTTTCATACAGTACAGCGGTCATCCAAATTGATTAGCTTCCATTATTGGCTCGCTCATTGAAAAATTTAAAGCAAACTTTCAAGACAACTGGCCACTGGGTGTGAGTATTTTCTTTGTTGACAAAAGTTTCGAGACATACAGTATGAATACTAACTTATACATGTAAAAAAAAAGATTATAACTAAAATTTGTAATGCTATGGTCGTATACAGGGTGTTTTTTTTTTAACTTGCATCTTTATTTATGTAAAAACCGATAGAAATATGCAGTTTGCGGGAATCATCTATTGACGTAGGGGGCCCAATTGTTTTGAATTCAACACATTCACATTCCCCCCTCTCCCCCCCCCCCTGCCACCAACTTAATTTTTTTTAAATAGCAAGGTACCCCTTGTGACATCTATATCTATAAAAGAGGAACTATGTATGTATGTATGTATGTATGTGTGTGTGTGTGTGTGTATATACGTTATGGACTCCGCAACCGCTCGACAGATTGTAATGAAACTTTCAGGCATTATTAAGCATCTTTCAAGGATGGTTCGAGTGAAGTTTGGTGCAGATCCGTCAAAAGGGCTCTGCCCTAGAGGGTTTTAAGTGGGCCAATGTCAGACTTTTTGATCTACAATGTTTACAAATAAATAAAATTTAAAAGCAGATGTTTACTTTCACCATCTGTTTTGTAGGTTTGAATAATCACAACATTCTGTATTAGCAATAGTCATGATTTGAAATAGTGCCACAGTGTTTCTACAGAGTGCAGCACAGAAAACTATTTTACTTTTGAATAAGTCCAAATGTATTAAACCCCAATCGCAGCACACCTGTGCACTTAACAGCGTTTAAATTCTCCAATGTTAAATATTAAAACATAAATACCTTTATCAAAGTATTATAAAAAATAAAAGGGATGACTTTTTAAATTTATGACAACAGCTAATTTGCAACCAAAAGGTGAGTGAGCGTAGCGAACGAACATCAACCTGGTGGCGAGTAAGCGTAGCGAACGAGCTAACCTGAAAACATGTGAGCGCAGCGAACGATTTCCAACCTGAAGGTGAGTGAGCGTAGCGAACGAACTTCAACCAGGACGTGATTGATCCATGCGAATACTTATGAAGTTAAGCGAACAAAGCCCCAAAGCCCGCGGGTACAGCTAGTATCAAATGAAAGAGCATGAAAAAAGAAAATGTTGAATAGACAACAGTCAACATGTCTACAGACTATAAAAAACGGAAATGTTTTAGACCTTCCGACTCCATTTGTACAGCTGCTCTGAATATTTTAGTGCTAAAGCTGTTAAAGCTTTATTTTATTTATATAAATATCATCATATACTTATTGTTTAATGTAAAACAGATTAGATTGTAAATAAAAATTTGTTAAAAAAAGTTCTGCTAATGTAAATAAGCAGCTGCTGTCAATCCATGTGGTTACTACAATCGAAATTTACAACAGCTGATTTACTCCTTATGGACTAAAAATGGGTTTTTACTCCCTAGGGTGGTGTTGTTTTTTGTCGCAAGTGGTGTTGTAACAGCTGTTTTGTTTGGAAGCAGCTAATGGTATTTGTGTATTTGAAAGATTGGTTACTGGACTACGACAATATTGACTCCGCTTAAAATGTACAGATAGATTTTTAATTCATATGGTTTCGGTTTTCAATTCTGTATGTTTTATTTTCAATATTTTAATGAATTTATGTTCATAAATTTAAATCAATAAAGTGCGAATTAATGAGCTGATGTCACCTGTCTGCCATGTTATCTTATGCGACCTCTGTCCCAAAACAACACCACTTGCGGTGTTGCCAATTCTACCAGGCCGCGGCCTTCTGTAGTTAAAGGTGGTCGTGGGTGATCCCAGTTTATTATAGCTCAGTGGGTAGTGGGTGCAATTAGTGTTTGGTACAATATTTCGTTGCATCACTGTCAGTGGCTATATAAAAAACATAACCTTAAAACACTCTCAATGGTAGAGTAGTGTATGTAACTCGCGTAAATAGTGTTAACGAATCTCGTAGAAGTTTTTAAGGCACTCGCCAAGGCTCGTACCTTAAATTTTCTACTCGTGTCGTTAACACTATCTTTACACAATCGTTGCGTAAACTACTATTTTGTCATACTCTGCAGCCAAAACACAGCGGTTTTAGCGATCTTCCCATATAGGGAATAAGCTACCTATTAATGTAGGTCACATTGTAAGACCCAGACCCCGGACCGATTTATTTTTTTGTTTTGATGTCCCCAGAGGCCAAAAACATTCATGTTTTTAATTTTGTTTATATATTAGGCATGTTACTATTGTGTGCTTTTTTTAGTTAGCGATTTAGCTTTAATGGCTTCAATTTGGATGAACGCAAACAGTGATGCATGTAACATGGACATTGGACACCGATACATATGAGATGCTGAGTGTAGTACAGTAAAGTATTTTGAGGCCGTGCCTAGGGACGTGGGCACTCGATGCCGGCCACTGAAGCCACACGTCTGACTGCGCTTGTCGATCCAGAAATGCATCTGAGCTGCGTCTCTCACGGCCCAGGGACCATGCCAATCTGAAACAATCATCACAACTCATGTAGTGAACAGTTGTAAGTCCCAGTGACCATGCCATTCTGAAACAATTACACAGAAACAGAAATTCAATCAACTATCTGAAATGCCTATCAGTCAACAGGCGCAGGTTTTACTAATTTTAGCGAGTACTAGCCATCGATGGTAGCTGGCCCGACCAACGATCACATAAGACCAATAGATGGAGCATGTTGGCCGCGCCGTAAAGCCAGTATTTTTTACTAATCTAAACTAAGGCGGCTTCCGGCTGTGAGCCCTAATAGCGCGCGCAACTAATTAAATGTTAGTTGATAGCAATGATATCCGTGACAATACGCCTTTGTATTACAAATATTTCTGTTACTAACACAATGACCTTCAAAATTAGCTTTTGATTTTGTTTCTAGCGTTTACCGTTTCTTAGAAAAAGTTAGTTTACATAATTAACAACAAAAACTTTTCGGGCGAAAGGAAAATTCTGAAAAGCTACAAATTTATTTATAATGTATGTATTTACATCGTATTAAAGTTTGAGAAGTTCTGATGTTTGGTTTACAATGTACGAATTTTCAAAGTCACAAGATAGTTTCTGAAACTCTTTATACAACTCTCCTTTATGTTCTGACTGTCATATTAATTTTTAAAGAGCAAAAAAATATTAATTTTTAGATGAATACAAAGAATAAAACGTAGAACATTTATACGTAATCCGTGTTTTTCTAATTAGTTTAGTAACTTTTCTGTATAGCTCCAAACTTGAGTATCTAAACTGTATTAGAAGTGAGGTTGCAGGCAGAATCTGCCCGCATGACGCAACGCGGCGCGGCGGGTAGCCCCTATAGTACAATTTAAATTACAACCAAACTACACCAGCTACAAATTTTAAAAAATATGATCCAAAAAATTCAACTCTTTAGCTACAAAATCCACTGTTTTTTAACTTACCTGACAAAGAAATAAAATACCCCTGCTGCAGCAAACCTGCAAGCTAAGCGAGACTTGAAGACTAAGCGAATTTCAACTTGTCTGATTACATTTTTACTAAAATATTTCCATAAATAAGACCTATTTATTCCGTATTTAAATAACATTAGATGTAACGCGTGCTTAGGTTTGCTGCTACGGGGAAGGTAAAAAGTGTTTTTGACCATACGTCATTAGTAGGCCTATAGGATGAAATAAATAAATTTGCCAAATTTTATCAATATATATCCATAAACAAGTAAACTACAACAACTTTCATTTTCTCTATAAGAATAACATGGGAATTTTAAATTACACTATTTTTGAATTTTCTCCGTGACCGTTAGGCATACAACAGCGCTTCATTAGGCCTATACTAAATTATTTCTTTTTTTAAGCTCTACAAAACGGTTTAAAAATAAATTGCAAAATTTTTTGTTATGTTAATCGTCGCCTGTTGATATCTTTTTTCGTCGCAATAAAATATCCAAAAGATAAGAAATTAAAACAGAAGCTCTGCAAGAAAATAGCTGATTAATTTCATGTTTAGTTGATTTTACAGAGTTAACAATATTATGTGTTGAGTGTTTAGCTCGCGCGTACAGTGATTTGGCCGATCAATGGACGGTAAACTGCTTATCTGGAACTCGGTTTATCTAGTTGATGGCGTAACAGATATAGTCAATGGTAACAGACAACAGACGCGGATGGACCTGGTTCCCGTTACTGTAGCTGGGCCATAACTATACAGTGAATATCTAAGCCTAGCTACTTTTTATCGTACCGTGATTATTAATATCATGATAAAACTTTGTTACTCTCTTGATATTGCAGTATTACCATAAAAATATGTAAAAAAGTTGAATTTTCTATTTAATATTATACGAGGTGTTAGCCCGTCCTACGTACGGGAATTCAGTAGTCAGTTAAAACCACGATTACTAGAAAAATACCGGTATGGATCATAAACATAAACAAATGACGTTTTTTAATAAATTTGAACAAATTACTGTAGTGAATTCGTTTTTAGGCCAAAAATAATCTATTTACAACATTTGAAGAAAATCGTCGGAGCCGTTTTCGAGATCTTGGTACAAGCAAGCAAGCATACATACATACAAGCAAACATTGCTCGTATTAGAGTATAGGATAACATTGAACTGATTAATGTAACAAATGATCATTGTTAATTTATTGTAACAATTAGGCTATTTATGTACTGTACATTTATGTTTTATGTTTTTTATGTTTGTTTTGTGCTGTATTTATGTTTTAGTATATATTATATACTGTTTAAATATTTATTTATTAAATCAATGTCCTGACTAATCAATACACAACCTAAACGATAATAACTAGAGATTTGAACATATTGTCATAGCATCTCTTTATAAGAAATCTGTCCGGAGTATGTGCAATTTTGGTTTTTTAAACTTATTGGTAAATTGGTGTAAGATTGTTTTATGTTTATTCGTAACCCGGGCGCATAATATCTACAAGAAATTGAAGCTTTTGCTTTGGTATTAACAGTCAAGTAAAATAAATAAATAATTAATATATAAATAATTAAAATAATTAAATAATACTATAAATTTAAGAAAATGGGCTTTTCGTTTGGCTCTGCTACCCGACCATTTTTATGATTGAGGTCTCAAATTAAAGGTATGCACGCACAGATTTCCCATCAAGCATCGGCGTATATTTTTCTATTATCTCACTCGGCTTATACGTAAACGAAATTGCTCCCCATGTTTTTCTTATGGGAGTTAAATTTGGTTTTCATGATTTTCATCGTTAGGCTAAACAAATCATTCCCCATGTTTTTCTTATGGGAGTTAAATTTTGTTTTCATGATTTTCATCGTTAGGCTAAACAAATCATGTTAAACATTTTAATTTTAGAGTTGTCCTAATTCTTATAACGTAGTTTTCTAAAGTTATCTGTTGTGGCTGCCTAGAAATAATCGGACGTTTGTTTCTCCTTAGAAAATGTATTGATAATTATAATAGTGGTAGTTAATTATGTTACAAGACTATGACAAATTGCCAATTATTGAGTCAACTCGGTCCCCACGCACAGGCTTCGCATATGTAAGCCCTGTCGATTTTCAGAAATTACGTTCATTCTGTATCTATTATTCTTTTGTTATGAATTGCTTTTGATTTTATTTATTTGATTTAGTTTTACTATGGTATTTTGCCGGACAAACTCCATTAAACATATAGCACGGGTCAAGGTTAATTTAACAATTCAAAACTAATTCATTCAACGATATTTTACCGGAAAAATATTTTACTAATATTTGTTTAAAGTTTTACATAATACACTTACATTTATTTATACATGATATAGGTACTTACAACAAAACTTGTAAGATAGTAGGACAACAACGTAAACTTAAAGATAGGAGCGAGTGTATGCAATTCTAAGATAGAGTTTAGTATTCACCGATCCTATGATAATTTAAGAGTATATTTCGTACCTAGGGCCGAAAATGACTTTTTTGTCAGCTCGGGGTCATTTTTAAGTTCGAGACGAAGATGAAATCGGCCCGTGGTACGATTGCTATTTTTCACCAAACTATACAAAACTGAGAAAATCTATCTATCTATATATTAATAGGCAAGCATGTTTCTTTAAAACCTTTTTTCTCAGCTTGTGTGCATCGTGGGGTAAATCTGCGCAAACCGTTAGAAAGCAATTTTCCTGTAGGTGTGCAGAATCCCTTTATAAATTTAAATAGGCTCAAAGATAAGCACAAAAAATGAGTTTAAAAATTTGAAAAAATTAACATGGATCTTATGCGTTGCCATGCTGGTGACGAAATAACAACTAAATATAAACAGAAAATCAAAACAAATGGAAGAAACTCCAATCACATGTTTTATTTACAGTGTGGGGTGAAAATAGAGAAGTGAGTACATTACATTTTTGGTCGAGTTTCGACCACTGGGCAACCTCTCGTACTTATTTAATACGCAAGCAGGATTTTTGTGACAATTACTCCTCCGAAACTACTGAACCGATTGACAAGGTTTTGGTGTCATTGGAAAGAGCGTAACGTGAAGTTGTGCAGGAATGAATTCACATTGCCTAATTCACAATGTTTACATTTGCTTTGACATTTAAATGTAAAAAACCAGAACTGTCAAATGCCTATTTCACAATTTCAGACAGCTGATCCAAAAAAAAAATAAAACAACTATGTGGTAGATTTATTTAATCTTAAACTTTATGATGGATTATCTATCTATATATTAATAGGCAAGCATGTTTTTTAAAAACCTTTTTTCTCAGCTCGTGTGCATTGTAGGGAAAATCTACGCATACTGTTAGAAAGCTATTTTCCTGTATAGGTGTGCAGAATCCCTTTATAAATTAAAATAGGCTCAAAAATAAGCACAAAAAATGAATTTAAAATTTTGAAAAATTTAACATGGATATTATGAGTTGCCATGCTGGTGACGAAATAACAACGAAATATAAACAGAAAATCAAAACAAATGGAAGAAACTCCAATCACATGTTCTATTCAAAGTGTGGAATGAAAATAAAGAAGTCTGTACATTAAATATTTTTGGTCGAGTTTCGACCACTGGACGACCTCTAGTACTTATTTAATACGCAAGCAGGTTTTTTGTGACAATTACTCCTCCGAAACTACTGAACCGATTGACATGTTTTTGGTGTCATTGGAAAGAGGGTAACGTGAAGTTGTGCAGGAAACTTTCTTTTTAGGGAAATAATGAGATATTGAGGCCCTGGAGCCCTTTAAAGTTTCGTATTTCTCCATAAGGATAACATGGGAGATAATTTTTATTTACAGAAACATATGTTTGCTACTTGAAAATAGTCAAAGTCTACTACATAATAATTGCTGTGTATTATGACTCTTAATGTATACCTACTACATTTCAATCAAGGATTGTGTACCTTAAAGTTTACCCATAATGGATCTTAATACTTTATTTTAATGCTGGGAATAGTAAAATTTAGTGGAGAACAAGTTACCATGATTTAGAAAACTTTACTATAATAA